CACACCACTTTTACTATAAGTGCTAATACAATTGCCAAAACTAACCCCTGTAATATGAAGAATCAAGACAATTTCAAAAGCATTAGCCCTAGTTGAACACATTTACAATTAGGCAGAACAGGAACTTGATAACACAATGGTTAAATCTTACCCGCCCATTCATATGGAGGATAAAAGCAAACACAACTGCTAAAGGAACTCCCACAAGATAATAAGATCCTAGATTGACAAATGCACCAAGCTTCTGCCAACCACATCGTCTAGATGACGCGTATTCACAATCAAAGAATTAGCTAAGGTAAGTTTACATATGAAGATAAACATAAGGTTCCTCAATAAATGAAATAATGTATTATCTAAGTTATTAATTTTTTGATACTAATAAAATATAAGCAGTACATTTCAGCATGAAAGACTGACCTTTTTGTAGCACTAACTCCAAATGGTATTATCCAAAACATACCAATTGTATTAAGGCTGGTGAGGAGAAAAGTATAGATGATCATTGACAACAACTCAGGAAAATGACATATCAAACGTCCATGTTTCTAAGCTGTAACATGGCAACACAGTAAAACAGTAATTAGAAATTCTGAACATTGGTCATTCAGATGACTAGTCACTAAGAAAAGATATAAGATTTTACAAGGCATTCTATCTGATGGTGTTGCAATAAAATCATGAAGTTGACAACTTGAAATGCAAAACTTAGCAACACAAGGTAGTGGGTATCCAAAAACTGGCACCATCTTTTGATGTAAATCCATCATCCTCTGCCACAGGAAATGATTCTTTTCTCAGCATAGTTGGACTTCTTGATAGCAAAACAGTGAACTTATTTTTGTTTTACTCTATTAAGCTACACTTACATGCAAAGCTTAGCAACACAAAAAGAGACCATATCCATGTCAAAATCAGACTCAAAAATAATGGTTGTCATATGTACTTGATATTACAAAACACCAGTTCAATGTTGTTTGCTCAACATTGAATGTATTGCATCTATATATTCTTTGCATGTGCGTTTATTATGTCCCCGCTTCTTACAATTGCCACAAATATTAGTATGCTTTGATGCTTCTTCAATCCCGCTACGAATCCTGTGTCCCTGTGAAGTACTTTGTGAGTCCCTTTTCCGCCCTTTCGTTTGTGAAATATTTGGATCCTTCAAGTACATCATAGAAGGCTCTTCATGATGAAAACCCAACAACTGTAAATTAGAATCCCCAAGACCACTACTCTCTTCGCACGCTAGAACTTTTTCTGCTGCTTTATAGAGAGAATCAATACCATCACAAATTAATTTAAAAGCTTCATCTGACTTATATGCAAGGTCATCAAGTTTGGAATATCTAGAGCGTAGATGAAAGCTGCGAAGAAGTCTATCTCCATTTGCGGTACATCTGTCCTTCTCTCCGCTTGGTATCACATTTCCTTCCTTGCTCCAACGCTGCAGAATGAAGTGTTCAGGAATCTGTTCAACATTTTCAATAAAAAAAATAGCAAGCATGTGCCGACATAAGATTCCCATGAACTCATAATAATGGCAAGAACACCTAGCTTCTCTGTTTTCCAATTTCATCCTCACAATCATCCCCAAGTTTCTCCTTAGAAAATCGTAAACTAAGAGAAAGTTGATCGCAAAACTTTAAAAAAATTGCACGGGTATACACTTTAGCAGCATGCTCCTCCAATGGCATATTAAATGTCAAAATCCTTTCTTTGTGCCTAGATTCAAAGTCTTCTTTTTTAAATGACTCGTAGCGAGCATCTATTGCTTGATTATATTTCTCCACAAATTCCTTTAAAGTTGTGCCAGATGTAACAAAACCATCAAAAAATGAATTTATACTTTCGCTACGTTGAGTAGTGTTCATACCAGCAAAGAAAGTGGAATGGTTAAAGATTGGTACCCAAGAGGATCTAATTGTATAAAGTACATTCAACCACTCATTTTCAATAAGACCATACTGAATAAGAAATCTTTGCCATCTATCTTCAAACTCTTGAGTGCTCTTGGAGCTCCAAATACAGTCATTCAAATGCCTTTTAAATGATGCGTGGTCATGGTAGAGATGAGATAACTTTTCTGGAAACTTTTTCATGATATGCCACAAACAAAATCTGTGTTTCGTATTTGGAAAAACTTTGGAGACTGCATTGCTAATCGCCAAGTCCTGTAAATTTAATAACATGAGTAAGTATGCAATCACTAATAAGTAGTCATATTTGAGATAATATACAAAACATAATAACCAATGCAATAAATTGATCATACTTGATCAGTAATTATGGCAACTGGATGTTTTCCATTCATTGCTCGAAGCCATTCCTCAAAAAGCCATACAAAACTATCCTCAGTCTCATCGTGTAATAAAGCACATCCAAATAAGAGGGACTGCAAATGATTATTTACACCAACAAAGGGTCCAAATGGCATGGAATACTTATTAGTCCTATATGTTGTGTCAAATGTGATGACATCCCCAAAAAGCTCATAGGCGTGCCTGGATCTTGCATCAATCCAAAAAAAACTAACCATACGATCATCATCGTCACACATAATAGAATAAAAAAAACTAGGATTCAGTGATTGTTGTTTAATACAATAAAGTAGCACAACTTGTGCATCCCCGATATCGTATACCCTTCTCCTCACATTTTTCATATGATTATAACAATCTCGACTGTCAAACCCTAAATCATGGCTTTTGAAGATGGTGGCCACCTTTCCAGTAGGCAAACCCGCGTTATTGAATTCTTCTATCAAACATTTTGCAGCATCGGGCATTTTTCTATGTGATCTCAAATATGAAACACTTTTTGGAGTAACCATCTCATGGTTATGCTTGTCAATGAAATATGTGATTTTCCACATTTTTGTTTTTCTCTCTCTAGAAGCCTTGAGACAAGCTTCACACCCCATACGTGATGATGATGTCCGCCTTGGTTTGGTTGCACACAATTCACGCACATCTTTTCCCTTTCTCGGTTGATGATAGCCCTCTCTAACACATGTTAGCATCACGTAGTTCTCGTTGGATGTTCTTTTCCGAATTCCAAAACCTTTTGCCTTCCCAAATGTTGTATACAAGTCTAATATATCCTTTTGTTCGGAAAATTTCATTCCAACCTCAATCATAACAGTAGTACTCTTTGTTGGTGATAATAGAATGTCATTAAACTTATTATCAGACAAGTCATTAGGTATATCATCTTCTATTTCATCATTTCTGGAATCTTTGATTTCACCATATTCCATTTCATTAGATAAGTCATTTGGAATGCAATCTTCACTGCAGTCAATATAACTTACTGGATCCTCATCCGCTGAAGTGGCTTGATTAGTGGTCATATCATCTACATTTTATATTTTTAATAACATAAGTAATATGGGAGAAACTAATATAACATGAATAAAAAAATCTAAAGTCAAGAGAGAATCAATGCACCAAATAGATAATGTAGCGAGTTCTTGCTTCCTATCGTATTTTCATTTTATAGATCAATCACCCTGTATTGATGCAAAAATATAATAAAAGTCCAGAAGTCCATTAGCAACTACAAAAAGACAAAAAAAAAACACTACAAAATAATGGGTCTTAACAGAAGTATTATCATACTTTCTTTTCCATAGCTTGACATAATTATTTGTAGTCTTCAATTTTTTTTTACACAAATATATAAAAACCAAGCATTCAATCTCTATGCCTCAAGTTAGTAGCTGTGCTCATCATTTATACATTTGAATAAAAGCATGTGCAATGGGGTACAAAAAAATGATCACAATCATTGAATTCCACGATAACATAGCACCCTAACTTCAATGAGTATCCAAGTTTTATTCCTTCTAAATAGAGCTTAACCAAATAAGGTAAATCTGCAATAATCAGAACCACAAAAAATGATGCAAAATGGTAAGTAAAACATACCAGGTAGAGAAGCAAAAGCAGGCACAAACTAGAGGTTCCTTCCAAATGAATATAAGAAGTGGTTCATTTGAGACAACTAATAGAGAGAGAGAGAGAGAAAGGAAGAAAGAGTTCATAGCAGAGTGACTAACCAACCACACTGAAGCAGATGTTTGATCTTTTTGAACATCAAGATTGTGTCGAAAGGTGAAGGACGATAGTGATATATTTCAGGTTGTGTTCTATGAAAATTAAACAACAATTATATCTTAGAAGAAAAAAATGAACGAGAAACTTATGATTATTGAAGTACAGACTCTAGTGTTTGATTAACTTGAAGTTGATAAAAGTAATTGAAATAAACAAGACTTCACCGTTTTAAGGTTTAATGGCATCCATTTTGTTAAGACACAAATGAAATAATTGGTCGACTATCAAATCATGTAAATGCTAGACTACTTGTTAGGAGTATTCCTATTAAATTTGAAACAGCTTCAACAATCGAAACTTAAAAAGAATAAACCCCAAAAAAAGAAAAAAAGTCAAAGGAGAAAAAAAATGGCGAATCACCCACGTTAACAGATGAAAACTCCAATCAAATTGCCTCACTCACAGGTCCTGTAATGGCGGCAACAAGGTCGACTCAATATATCATTCCACGCGCAGGTGGGAAACGCCGACAGCAAGGTCGGCCTCCGGCAGTAAAAGAGCACAAGGGCTGGCGCAACGATGGTGGGTCACAAACAGAGGGCTGAGACGGCGATGGCAGATGGTCGGGATGGAGTGACGTGGACGCAGACGACAATCTACTGGAGGCTTGAGCGGAGAGGGTAAGAGAGCGGGAAAGGAAAGTGTGGTAGACGTTAGACGTGAAATGGAAGCTATTTGTGGAATGGAGAAATTAAATCAGAACCGTCGACGAAACAATTAATCTAACGGTTATTAATTGTTTGTAAACACTTGTAAACTATTTACTTTGTCAATATATCTATTCCCATAAAAATGTATGTAACCGATGTGAAGTCATATTAAGAGAGGCGGGAAATAAATTGGGTCTCGCATATTTTAACGTAGGGTTTGTTTTTTCTGATGTTACTTTAGATAATTTTATCTAATGTTCATCAAAATGACGTCGTTTTGGGACAAAAATCATGGTATTTTTGTAATTTTAATTTATTTCAGGGTTATAATAGTCTTTATCACTCTAATTTTTTAATTTTTCAACCCCAAAACGACGTCGTTTCGATGAACATTAGATAAAATTATCTAAAGTAATATCAGAAACTTTTTTTTCCTTTAATGTATGTGTTAAAAGATAAAATTATATGTTATCAAAAAAAAAAAAAGATAAAATTATATGCTACAACAAAAGAAACATTAAATCCAATTATATAAATATGTATATATGGGTAATATTTTTTTTCATTTTATATAAGATAAGAATTACTTACTATAAAGAGAATAAATGAGAAAAAAGAAAAAAGACTGAAGTGAGAGAAAAAATTTACAATGGAATCCACCTCTGAATGTGTGCGTAGAAATGTTTTGCTCTCTCAAGTAAAAAGAGAGACATTAACTTTTCTATATATATATATATATATATATATATATATATATATGAGTACCGCATTCATTCATGAATAACATCGTGATAGAATATCATAAAATTATGGAATTATTTCATTTTGAAATAAATAATTTTACGAATTACCTGACTAATCAGATTAAGTTGGGAAAGATTATAAAGGGCCTATTTGGAGCACCTGATAAGAAAGATAGGATATGATAACTTATCATATCCTACTCTTATCTCTTGTTTAGTGGGTCAATAGGATATGATTAGCTTATCCTATTGTCTCATTTTATCCTATCTAATGCATGATTTCTTATCCTATGGGGGAGCTGGGTTATGATTCAATAGGATAGTATATCAATATTAAATACCCAATAAATTCCCACCTACCTAATATATTCTCACACTATCCAATATATTTGTATTTGTTGCATTATATTTTCTTCTTCTTTTTTTCCTTTCTCCTTCTACATAATCTTATCATATTGCTAATCAGGTGCTCATCAAACACATGATATGATATAGGCTTATCAGCCCCATATCTTATCCTATTCTCATCAGCTCCATATCATATCATATTATTATCCTATCATGTCCACCAAACGAGCTCAAATATGTCAAATCTGTCTATATCAAACGTATTAAGAATTCGAACTCGTTAAACGAAAACAACATATTATAAATTCATTCTGGTTAAATACTTTTCCATATATTACTTATTTAATTTAGTTGAAGATAAGCATGCTCAACGAAAATATTTTTAAAAATATCAAAACAAATAAAGGGAAAATAATGAACTTGTTAAAGTGATCAATTTTAAATATTACATATTAAGAAATTCTGTTTACTCCTTGAATACAATTGTGAACTTCTTTCACAACTTTGTTATTACCAGAAACTTATCGAAAGATGCTTAAACTTGTATGTTAAGAAATTACTACTATTAATAACAATAAAAATAAAGATGCTCTTTACCAAAAAAAATAAAATAATAAATAAAGATGCTTAAAACCAAACGCGACCCGAACTAACTAATACTTAAATTAAATATTTCATAATATATTAACCAATGTTTGGATTAGTTGGATGTGACATAATCATGGTTTTTTATATTTGTCATTTTGTTTATTTATTTTAGGGTTTTATTATTCTCCTTCAACACAAGATAGGTATCTTATGTTGTAGAGATAAAATGAGTGGATCCCACCATTACAAGAAAAAAAAAAAAAAAAAAGTGAGATGCGAAAATCGAAGTGAGAGAATAGGAGAAAAGTAATCTTATGTAAAAGAAAACTAATATTTTCCTTTATTTTATGGGATATATTAAACGTGTTTAGATTATAATAGTTTGCATAAAAGCAATGAAGCAGGGACACGTTCTTTTATTTGAAAAATGTCCGACACGCGTTTGACATACAGTAAATATTTTGAGACATCGCTGATCATCTCGACACGCGATTTGGACCGTGTCGAACACGATTCCGGTGTTTTAGCATCTGGGTTTTGAGGCATTCGCCGGCGAAGGAGGTTGAACAGAGTGGTCCTTGATGATGAACGTCTATTTTCTGACCAAAACTGATCTAGGGAACAAAACCAGATACAGAAAATGAAAAATAGAAGCAGATCTGGCGAAGAAAATAAATCGAACAGAAATGGAGAAAGAAGCATAAGGCAGACCCATTTGTCAAGCGAGAGAAGACGAAATAGAAAGAAAGGTAAAGAGGAGATGGCTACGTGAAAAGACAAGAAGAGGAAAAAGTGCAAATTTCCAAAAAAAAAGAGTGGGATAATGTGCATTGTGCACGCTAGCTGCCAAACATAATCGATATATTATATAATAGGATAGGATATTTTCACAACCAAATAATATTATTACCAATATTACTACCACATCTTAACCGTTGATTTCTGGCAATCAATTTTATCATTTTTCAAATCAAACTCATTAATTAATTATTAATTCGCAATAAATGATAACCGTTGATTGACAGAAATCAACAATTAAGATGTGGTAGTAATATTATTTGATTGTGACAATATCCTATCCTTATAGACAAATGCATCAGAACATGAGTATGAAAAATATACGTATGAAAAATATACAAATGGATCAGAACATTAAATGATGCCTAACACAATGTTAATAAAAAGAGGGCAAACTAAGAAATACAATAAATAATAAAATAGAGTTATTATTAAATAATAAAAATAACACTATTTTTTTATTGATGGGTATTATTAATTTAATTTTTTTAATTATTAAATGTAATATACACTATATAAATTAAAAATATTATTTAATATTAAAATATGTCTGTCAAAATTTAATATTTTTTAAAATTAATGATTCGAAATATCATGTCGTGTCCCGTATCTCGTATCGATGTCCGTGCATCATACCATAAAAGTCATCGTTTTATGACACATGTAGTTCTAAAGTCCCAGAGTTTATTAATTTGTCATCACTCCCAAGGCTAACTTTGTCCCAAACTCATTTTTGTTTTTTAGACCACAACTTGACCGTGGTTGCAGTTCAAACAAATAGTATGCATGATATTTTTTTATACTCCTAAAAGTAAATATAATTCTGTTGAGTTCACATTAACACTGGAACCGAACTGAATTGGTAAAAGTGGTACAATTTGAGAATATAATCGATTTTGAAAAAATGATTCTGTTCTTGAATTGGATTGAAGAAAATGATTTAACTATTGACCTGATTAAAGATCTTTTGATACGGTTGCTACCATTCATAATTCAATTTGGCTGATTTATACTAGACAAAAGGGGTAGACAAATTTATTTTGGCAATAACCCAATCTCAGTTAAAGACTTCTCTATGAGGTCTTTTGGTTAGGCAAGCAAATGAGGCCCAACAACAGAAGTAAGACAAAATTTCAACTTTTTGGGATAAAATTAACTTATAATCATTTAATAACTGGTCGCTAACATTCCTTAGTAATAAATAATTAGGGAGGTGGATAACCAAAATAATAATAATAATAATAATAATAATAATAATAATTAGGGAGGTCATATCCTTTCCTTAGTAAACAGACTAAACTTCAGGGGAGGTTGAATTAATTTTCCATTCATTATTTAATTAAAAAATGACACTTTTACATGTGGTAACAAGCTAGTTAATCTGCTATATTTTGTTGAACTTCATAAAAACTGCGTACCAAATTAGATATAACTATACAATCCATGAACCCAATGATTAATCTGATAGTGAAACTGAAGAATTAACACGACTTAGACGTTTCTTCCGGTATCTCCATGCAACTTGAATCCGGGTTGCTGCAAGGGATCTCCAATAAGGTGATTCATACCTAACAACATAACACAATTATCAAAACCATTGTGTCAATCATGGATTTTGAAAACATAAATTGAGCTTTCTAACGTGTTAGTTGTTACTGGTTACATTATTATATATATATGTGCAACTTTTATTACTGATTTGTTTATTTTCATTTTGGTAAGTCATAAAATGGTCAAGATGATTATGCTGAACCACAAATCAAGATGCATGAAAAGGGAAATGACCTTAAGGCTCCTTGAACACGTGGACTCCTCAAGAATCTTGTGAAAAGAATTGTGACCTCTTCAAGTTCTGCAGCACAGAGTGAAAATGCCTCCACATTTGTTAAGCACCTTACATTCCTATTGCCAACCAACCTCTGTCCTGGGAGCCTTATTTTTCTACCATCTGCAAAGTGAGATCAAATTGATGAACCATGCTGTTTCTTTTTTTGTAGAGGCCAAGTTGCTGTTTATTGCAACTGTATAAGATCTCTATTAATTAACATCATCCATCTTTGTCATTGCATCAAGTATTGTTGTTATACCTGTGCTTATAGAAGAATATTCAAGATACCATGTCAGAAGTTCTTCACCACAAACATCTCCTTCGGCTAAGGGAACTCTAATTCCATCTTCTCCAACACTCTCCAATTTACCACGCACAATGAATACCATCTTCTGTACTAGACAACCCTGGCACAAAATTCTACTTCCTTTGATGTATGTCTTTTGTTTGAGTCTCTCACAAATAGCATCTAAGATAGGCTGATCCATCAGGGCGAAAATTCGAACCTGTAGATAATTTAGATCCTCAGATTATTGACACGAATTGCTACAAAGTATAATACAAATTTCAATATTGTCTGACACAGTTTGGCTTTTGATATATCGTGGTTTTAGTTTCATGATGAAGATGCATAAAGCTTTGCTTTCACAATGATTTTCACATTTAAACTTCTATTTAATTCTAGCAGGTTACAAGTAGAGACACCTAAGTAAAACAGAATTTTAAATGAATCAAGGTGGCTGAGATTGTGAAGTTCACCTAACATCTAAACCACATAATTATGATCCACTTAAAGAGTAAGCATGATAAATTGGTGCGATTATAACTAGTCATTTATGCCAAAGATATTATAGTGCATACTTTCTTAACAAATTTGAAAAGATGACGTCTTATGTCTCTCTGCAGATCCTCAGGCAAATTCTCCATAAGCATTTCTTCATTAACTCCCCTTGTTGCAGCCCAAGTATACCGTTCAGCTTGTCTTACTCTCCTGCATGACAGACAAATGATCCATTACTTGTTCATTAGGTATGATCCATTACTTCATTTGACATAATTCCTACATAAAAAAGACAAACTGTGGACAACATTTATTTAGCATTGAGGCCTATATATGCTATATTATAAGAAAATCAGTAGCTCCTCATCTATGTACACTATGACATGTCAAATTTTGATGAGTTGTTAGTGTCACAAGGTGAAATTACCACTTGGTAGAATTAATAAATCATGTTCTCTCTTTGATATGCTATATTGATTGATTGCTATACTCCATATCACTACCATTATTAGAGTTAGGAACTTAACAGGATGCGTAACAAGATGTTCAGATATGTTATTTTACACATGTTGCAAGTAGGGATGTAAATGGGTCATGCGACCCATAACCTAACCTAGCTTGGCCTGACCTCGTTTTAAAAATAATACAGGCTTGAATTCATTAAAAGGCCCTTTAGAAATCAAGCTCCAAGTCTATTTTGAAAGGACTGACCTCTAAACCTCCAAGCCCGACTTGTATTTTTTAATAAATAATATTTTATTATTTTTTAATAAAATAATATCTTATGATTTCCAATAACATAATTAAATTATTAATATTTTGGGTTGTGTGGTTTCAGGTATTGTACTATTATGACTTTCCATTACCCAAAACATACAAAAGGAACAAAGTGATTATAACTTATAATTTTCACTTTTCAAAGTGTAATATGCCATTTTTGAAGACTTGATAAGTTAGGTCAAGCCTTGAATTTTTAAAAAATAAGACAGGCCAAACCTATAATTTGGCTTGTATCAGGCTTTCAAGATAAGCCAAACTTGAAATATTTTACATAGGCCTAGTCCATTTAGGCTAAAGTCTGGCTTGACCTGATTCATTTACAACCCTAGTTGCAAGATTATGTGTACTACTAATGTTTAGAGTGATTAATCATATTTGATAAACACACTTAGAGAAACATCATGAACATATTTGTAGACAGATGCAAGAAGAAATTCCTAATTATCCTTTGCCTCACTTTAAATTCTGAAACAAGTCTTCCGTAACTGTTAGCTTAATTTAGTCTTGTCATGTAAAACAGTACTTGTTTCTCGTAATAGTAAATTGCTCTTGTACAACAGGAAAATGTACATTGTCAATAAATGGAGTACTAAGAGGGTGTGGGAATTTGACAACCAATAACTTGAATCAAGCAATTAACAAATACTTTTTTTTGGCAATGTGGTTGTGATTCATGAAAAGAATGAGAAAATTTTGTACCTTCTTAGACCTTCTGGTAAGCGACGATGGCTCATCCATTGCTCAACATCACGGCCTCTAAGTTGCATTTCTAGCTTCCTGTAAAAAGGGATGGAAGAAAATATATCAAGCATATTCCAATAATAAACACATTAGAACTTGACTATAGCAATAGGTAAGTTCTACCTGCGTCCAAGAGCCTGAAGAAAGTTCTGTATGTTTCCAATGAGAATCGCAAAAAGCAAGAGTCCTAATCCTATGATGGCCATAGTAAAAAGGACTTCCCCCACAAAATAGCTAGGGACTAGATTACCAGCTAGAGTACTGATTTGCTGTATAAAGATCACACAGGGTATAACTCTTAGAGATTCATGCGCATGCTTAAGTATTCAGGAGTTTTGGTACAAGTTGGCCTTGATAATTGACATGGTATCAGAATTATTGTGACTTAGTGGCAAGGAAAAAAGAGCGGTGATTTTGGCGTGCATTGTGGAAATATGTAGTGTGAGATTTCTTGTATGAGTGAGATATGTAGACATTGGCCATAATTTGATCCTCACTATATATATATATATATATATATATATAGAGAGAGAGAGAGAGAGAGAGAGAGAGAGAGAGTTAAGATCATTTTATATCAATATAAGTTACACTCTTAAACTTGATTATTATCTCACTTATATCTAATGACTTTAATTTTTTAATTATGTGAGTCATTGGATGCAAGTGGATGTGGATCAATAGCCAAGAATGAGTGTAGGACTTCTTATTCTTAGACCAGTGTAAGAATAACCTACGCCCCACATATATCTATATATGTATAATTACTACTGAAAAAAATGAAATGCATACCTGGAATCCCCAAAAAAGAGAATACACATATTTGTTAACCACGTTAGTTTCAACAGTAAGCTGCACAGCATTCTGATAGATGCCATAACTAAATCCACCATCAGGAGGGGGATTCAGACAATCAATGGCATCTTTATTCTTGTTCCACTGATCTGATGTTAGGTCAGACTGATTGTTTCCATTAAGGCCATGTCCACAATCAATGAATTTCATGCATCCAGTAATATTAGAATTATGGCAGGCATCTCGCAAACATTGATTAACCCTCTGGAAAAAGGAAGAGGGAGAACAAGAGAAAGTTAGTAAATTGAATGTCAACCTTCATTTACTGAATCAAATTCCTGATTCTAATTGAACCACTCATCTTTAAAGCATCCAAGGAAACATAATAATTTCAACAGTTGACTTTCATTACCAACATTGCATTAAGAATTAGAAGGATTAAATTTCCTAGGACATACTACAATCTCATATATAAAGCCCTTAATCTTGCCTATAAATCTCATTACATATTATTATATTATATGCAACCACATGGAACTATCCACTCAATTCAAGTGAATCAAGTAGGATTTCTCCTTTTCCTCTTTTTCTTAGCATCGTTTGGGATGCAATTTGTAGCTTATTCTACTCAAAAATCATAATAATGGAAGCTTGGCTCCACTCGAATAATAACAATAATTTGTAGCTTAGCAAGGTGAGAATTAAGAGCACATTATGAAATTTAGTAAGGAAGAAAATTGGTATTATTTTAGTGAAACAAGCTTCAAGTGTTATTTCCTCTCACCTGTAGACCAAAGAGGTACCAGCAAGAGCCAACAACATGGCTAGCAAGCATGAAAACGAGAAGATTTATAATGAAATTTGCCCAGGCTGACTCAAATATGAATCCTGTTCGATTCTGGCCAATTAGCAGTGGCAGAAACCTGTACAACTTTGGAATATACTGCACTAAGATTGCTGCACGGAGAAGATTCTTTGCATAATTTGCTCCCCCCAAGGAATTTGGTATCACAAACAATATCATTATCTGCACATATTTCACTACACATGTCATGACAAAGAGTTAATTTGTTGAGTACATAAGTTAAACCCATAGTGGCCTATAGTTTTGTACAGATTGAAGAACCCTTTCCTTGCACTGCCACCACCTAGTTTGTCTCAAGCACATGCTCATGTCCAAAGACAATTTATTCCTCAGAATGACACACCAAAAAGGACAAACCATTGTGTTTAACTTCAACATGACAACGTAAAACAAGAAGCAGTTTATAAAAATAAACGAGGTTTTGGAAATCGGAACAATAATTGAACCGCTGAAGGAATTGATTCACGGTTCAAAGATTGAATTATGGTTAAACCAGAGTATAAACACATACACATCGGAACAATAATTGAACCGGTGAAGGAATTGATTCACGGTTCAATGATTGAATTATGGTTAAATCAGAGTATAAACACACACACACACACACAATTTACTCTAGTTTAACCATAATTCAATCATTGAACCGTGAATCAATTCCTTCACGAGTTCAATTATTGTGTGTGTGTGTGATAATTATCATGATATTTTTCTCTAATGAAAAAACTTCACTTTCACCCACACAATTTATACTCTGGTTTAACCATAATTCAATCATTGAACTGTGAATCAATTCCTTCACCGGTTCAATTATTGTGTGTGTGAGATAATTATCATGATATTTTTCTCTAATGAAAAAACTTCACTTTCACCCACCAACTATCATAGCAGAAAGTGTTTAGGCACGCGCACGTGTGTGATAATTATCATGATATTTTTCTCTAATGAAAAAACTTCACTTTCACCCATCTATCACCAACTGTCATAGCAGAAAGTGTTTAGGCCATGGTCCCAGACAAGATGAATGGTCGGCGGCAGCCTCCCACTTTGGCTGCCGCAGGCCATTTATCTTGTCCCGTGCCACCACCATTGCAATATAGTAGTCTTCTTCTTCTTGTTAGACACCACTTGGAGGAAGGTTGACAGAAAAAAGACCACAGGAAGTTTAAGTAGTGAGTATATGTACATTTTCTACATTCAAACTTAAGAATAGCCTGTGTGAGGAAGGTGAAAGACCACAAGAAGTTTAAGTACTAAGTTTGAGAGATAGTCTAGAGAGACCACAAAAATGTTAGATGATATAACCACGTGCAATGAAAGTGAAATTTTCCAAACCATGGTTGGTTAGCACGATTTGACCATCCAGTTCAGCGATCTAACGACACCAGTTTTCCAACACAAAAATGTTTTAGAAACAAGACAACAAAAATCTAAAGATAAGAATCATTTCTAGCATATAACTAGCAGTTTAAGCTCTTAGGTCAATTAATTCTTCAAAAGGTTTTAGAGGCTCTTTGAATAATCATCAAGAGATTGGTACAACAGTGGCATAGTAGAAAGAAAGAGCTCTTGCATATGCTAGTCCCTATACAACACTTACCAATTAGTCCCTTACACATTTTTATTAATTGAATCCTTTAAAGGTTAAATTTATATTTTACTCCCCCCACAATTCTAGTCACACATATCATTCACCTTCCCTTAAAAAGTGATAGTTATATTGCCTACCTATTTAATTTTTTTACTCTTACTGTTTTTTTTTAAAATCGTTATATTGCCTACCTATTTAATGGAAACTTTAGTTTTCTTGTTTTTGGATGAGTTTGATCATTCGTAACTTAGTATTTCAGGTATTTATTTGTTTTTGCAGTTCCTGGGATTTTATGCTTTGACATATTAGGGATTCAGTAGATAAGTTCCCCCACCCCTTCCGAGGAAAAAAATACAAGGATAAGGGTGATGCACTTGAGTCACCATAAGTTATTATAATTGCAGACGTTTCAGTTTTAAGGCCTTTTATGAATTTTAATAATTGCAGACGTTTCTATTTGCATGACTTTATGTTTGGTTTATGGTTATTTCCACTTTGTATCAGTTTTTAAGACCATTGATGGTCCTTTATTATTGATTACTTCCTGTATTGCCTGATTAAAAGGCTTGTTAGAAGGATGTGAAAGGGGACTTTTGATTGTTGAAGAATAAAAATATAGCAAAAGAACTTCTGCATTTTCCTGAAAGCCTACTTTCCCTCTAATTCTGCATCATTTAGTATCAAAGCACAAGTTGCCTTAAAGATGGCTGAGCAAGAAAATCGCGGAGGTCGTGGTCATGGAGGCAGAGGACGCGGTCAACCTACCGATGACGATTATTATATTAATGCGAGGTAGTGGACGAAGAGGTTGCGGCAGAGGACGCGGTCAACCTACCGATGACGATTATTATATTAATGCGAGAGATGTTGAAATTGAGGAAAGCGACAAGCGGATCCAAGAACTCGAACAACTGCTTGCAGAGGCACAGTTGCACGGGTCAGAAGGGAGACAGGAATCTGAACTGTCATCTCCAGAGGAAGAAGAGGAAGAAAATCCATTTTGGAACCGCAAAAGACCAAGGAGAGGTCGAACCGGTGATCAACCCTTCACATCCAATTTTGGGATGAAGATCGAGATTCCAAAATTTGAGGGATCAACTCACCCTGATGTACTCATCGACTGGTTACACATCGTCGAGAGGGTCTGTGATTTAAAAAATCTCACAGAGGAGCAAAAGGTGAAATTAGTGGCAATCAAATTGAGGAAGCATGCCTCAATCTGGTGGGAACATGTCAAGAAACAAAGAATCAGAGACAGAAAGTCTAAGATTCAAATATGGGACAAGATGAAGAAATTGTTCCAACAAAAAATTTTGCCCGCTCAATACAGACAAGAGGCATTTATTGAGTATCACAATTTCAGGCAACGTGACCTTATGGTGGAACAGTACACCACTAAATTTGATCGTCTTCAAATGCGTTGTGACATGGGTTGTGACATGGTCAAAGAAGATGAACAGGTGATTGGATTGAGAGATGACATTTCTGATGTTGTGTACCTACAACAGTATTAGTCTTAAGAAGATGTGTGCAAACTATCCTTGAAGGTGGAAGGACAATGTAAAAGAAAAGGTGACAATTCGAAGTTTCAATCAAGATTTCCTAGAAAGGAATTCGAAGCTAGATCAGTGAGTTCATCAGCAACTTCACCTGCTGGAAGGAGTTCTACGCCTCAAAAAAATATTCCCAACAAGGAAGGGTCGAGCAAAGGAAGTAGTACAGGGAAGAGATGTTTCAAGTGCCAAGGAATTGGACATTTTGCTGCAGATTGTCCAAATAAACATATTGTGACGTTTGCAGAGGCTCCAATTTTTGATGAAGAACCAATCTTTGACAATGTAGATGAACAAGAAGAAGCAGAATATGAAGAGGTAGAAATATGCTGATACCAGAGAATCACTAGTCACTCGAAGAGTCTTGAATGAGGATATGGTGAATGATGAAATGTGGCTTCGGCACACCATTTTCCACACCAAGTGCACCAGCTGGGGAAAAGTATGCAGTGTGATCATAGACGGAGGGAGTTGTGAAAACGTGGTTTCTACCACTATGGTAGAAAAATTGGGGCTAAAAACAGAAGCACACCCAGCACCTTATAAGTTGTCTTGGCTAAAAAAAGGGAATGAGGTGAAGGTAACCAAAAGATGCCTCGTGTGTTTTTCAATTGGGAAAAAATATTCAGATGAGGTATGGTGCGATGTCGTTCCTATGGATGCTTGTCACATTTGTTTAGGTAGGCCATGGCAATTTGATAGGAAGGAAAAACATGATGGTTTCAAAAATATTTACACCTTCAAAAAGGATAGTCACCTTATTACACTAGCACCTTCAAATTGGAGGAAGGAAACGAAGAATTCTATGCTATCCAAGGCAGAAATTTTAGAACTGACAGAATTCGCGGATGTAATGACGGAAGAATTGCCGCCTGGATTACCACCTAAAGAAGTTGACATCAATAAAGACGACGCAGATTCGTGGGCGAATCTTTTCCTAGCAGGGGAGGATAATGCACTTGAGTCACCATAAGTTATTATAATTGCAGACGTTTCAGTTTTAAGACCTTTTATGAATTTTAATAATTGCAGACGTTTCAGTTTGCATGACTTTATGTTTGGTTTATGGTTATTTCCGTTTTGTATCAGTTTTTAAGACCGTTGATGGTCCTTTATTGTTGATTACTTCCTGTATTGCCTGATTAAAAGGCTTGTTAGAAGGATGTGAAAGGAGACTTTTGATTGTTGAAGAATAAAAATATAGCAGAAAACTTCTGCATTTTCCCAAAAGCCTACTTTCCCAATAATTCTGCATCAAAGGGTTTTCTATGAATTTAAGGTTTTAATTTATGTTCTTGTTTATCTTGAGATATTAATTAATGTGATATGTTTGTCCTAGATGTTATTAAGGTTTTCTGATAGGATCATTGTAATTACTGTTATCAAGGGAAATTCTTTCTTCATTTTAGTTCTTGAAGATACACCGCTTCCTTGCATATGAATTTTATCAATTTGATCTCTCAAATTTCAAATTCTCAATATTTTTTTTGGCGGGATGGTTATATTTTCTGCCTATTTAATCTTCCTACCCTTATTACTTTTTTTTTTCATATTGGATTGGATTCAAATTGCACACCTATAAATTTTGCTTCTCTCTCTTCCCTACTCCCTCCAGTATTTTTTTCAACAAATTACATCTTTTATTTTTTTCTGATTTTAATCCAACACAGCATGAAAAAAAAGTTTTAAGAGTAGGAAGATTAAATAGGTAGGTAATATAACCATCCTGCTAAAAAAATATATTGAGAATTTCAACTTTGAGAGATCAAATTGATAAAATTCATACGTAACGAACCAATTTGATATCAGTGTATCTTCAAGAAATATAATGAAGAAAGAATTTCCCTTGACAACAATAATTACAATAAATCCTTTCAGAAAACCTTAACAGCATCAAGGACAAGCATATCACATTAATTAGTATCTCAAGATAAACAAGAAAATAAATTAAAACCTTAAATTCACAGGAAAATTAATTACTGAATCCCTACTATGTCAAAAACACAAAATCCCAGTAAGTAACAGTAACGACAAAAACAAATGAATACCTGAAATACTAAGTTACGAACTTACGATGATCAAACTCAGCCAAAAACATGGGAAAAAGAAGTTTCCATAGTGAATAAAGGGAAATGGGAAGAGATTTACCTGAGGAAGAGGAAATACAACAAACAAATCAACAAGAAAAGAACCCTTCATGTAATGAAGAGCAATTTGCTTAGGATGGTCAACTAAATCTCCAGCACCAACCACCCTTGACTCAGGAGAAACATAAGCCAACCTAAACTGCAAAGAGACAACTTGGTAGAGTTATTTAACCTTTAAATGATGAAAAAGAAGCAAACAACTCTTCAAAACTTAACAACCATATCTAAGATTCATGACACATGCTCTTCTCTTTTTTCTTTGTTTTCCTTTTGAACTGAACTACTAAACAATAACAAAGCAAGACACACATTAGTCCAAAATGCAACACTACTTAATACTACCAATATGGTTATAATCTAGTCTATTTATCATTTGAGCCTGCACGAACCTAAACCCTCTTATTTAGTACTCGAAAACGAGAGTAGGGTAAGGGCAATCCTTGTACACAACTTTACCCTTGCATATTTACAAAGAGAATGTTTCCCAAATTGGAACCCGTGACCTTTCAATTACAAAGAAGTAGTTTTATCACTATAGGCTCGCCCTCTTACCTTCTGAAAACCAATAACATTGAATAATCAAAACTTGCCTTCAAGGAAGGAGCTGATTATACTTTTTCAAACTAAAAATATGGAACCATTCTATGAATATATACAGATTTACAGAAATTCAAAGCAGGGTAAAGAGAGGGCTTTTTGATAGGATAGTCACAAAGAAGTTACCTGGAGAAGAATGTTAAAGAAATATACCAAATCATTCATGCTTCTAAGTAAAACAAGTGCTGTTGTCATAGTCCAGTTGATAACAATACAATTATAATCCTGCATAACATGAACAGGAAACATGCAGAGTAAATTTGCAAAGAGTAGTAAAGAAAGATAAGTGAGTAGAACTTGCAAGATTTTCTGGTTAAATAAAGGGAAAATAATCATACCTGCTGCACATAGAGCAAGAAGAAAAATAATGGATCCACAAAAATAGCAGTCAAGCAAAAAATGGCCAAAGACTTGTTCCATTTTTGTACAATTTTGGTGTGAGGGTTCATAACTCCAGGAACATATGAAGAGCAGAAAGAAAAGAGCTTTCTTGCGAATCCCTTGGCATCCCCATAAAGATCATTATGGAACTGTAACACTCAAAATATGAATAAAGATTGGTTATGCGAAAGTGATGGTAGAAGATAAATGTCTACAAAAAAGGAAATGAAAAACTTTACAAGAAGATCGAATTTAGTGATACAGTAAAGCTTGTAGTAGACTTTAGAAATTGAGCAATGATATGATTAAGTATCAAGTAAACTTAGGTCTAAGTGAAAAGCTATTGAAATAAAGTGCTTTTCATAGAAATTAAAAAAAAAAAAAAAATAGAAATATCATTCAAAATCTCTATGTTTAACACAAATATCATAATGGATAAATATGATAAAATATGATGATGTAAAAATGCAAAAAAACCTCAACTATTTAACTAGAAAAGTATAGTTGAAGGCAACTGAAATAATAGTCTAATCTAGGATAAAAGACAGAAACCTTGGGATCACATATAGTTGAAGGTTTTGAATTTCTTTGCTGAGAAACATTGAAGTGAGTAGGGCAAATAGTACAATAAGGATCATTACACATTCCCAGTTGTCCAGACCTCAGTAAGTGTTCATTTTCTCTACCATGGTTATTATTCCAGTAAGTTGAACCTGTGCCGCTGAAAGTAGCAAAATTTTCTGTCTTTCTTTCCTCTGCTTTGTTTCCTGTTCCAGCTATATGCTGCTGCAAAAGATTTCCAGGTCCATTGGTAGCATATAGTGGACCACTCATCTGCATAAAGGGAGTTTTTCTCTTAATCCGAAGTGGACCTGTATGTCCTACATGACTAGTTTCTCTCTCATATGACTCCATGTAGCTCATAGGAATAGAAATTGATGCACTTTGTGTCCTTGATACAACCCTTCTGGATTTAGAATCCAAGGGTTTATCATATGGTTGTGAATCTGTGTCTGACAGTATTGGCAACTCATCATTATCAAAATTAGCCATGTTCCCTTGATAATTCTGTAATTTGTGTGAAACCAACAAAACATTTAGTACATATGTTTCTGAATCATATCAGCAATTTTGAAATCAAATAATTCAACTTGAAACTTTGAAGGGAAGTATATTAATTATAAAACATTAAGCAATTCGTGCAGTAGGAAAGATCCAAATACTATACAGAATTGACAAAGGAAGAAACCAATTAAACATCCATTGATCAAAACTAATAATACAAAATCATTGAGATGCATGTGCCATCCAACCTCTAGTTTCTATTGGTGAGTTAATAAAAACAAGACACCTATGCCCTTCATGCCATTTTTCCTTCCCCTACATGCATTGGTTCTTTTGTCTAAAATTAACATATATATCAATATATCATTTACCATCTATTTCAAAAGGGTAAATGAAAACAAGGATTGAACTATAGACCATATGGTGATAGAGGTTCTAATGTCTTCCATGATCCAACTATCTCAAAAAGAGGAAAACCAGATGAATGGAAACAAGGTGAAGCATTTTGAGGAATAGCAATTGGCATTGGAATCAGAAGAAGAAATCAAGCATGATGTACTTAGGCCAACAAACTGTAAAGGCAATAATCAAGAAAAAACAACAGAGGCAAATCCAGAAAGAGTAATAAGACCTGTTTGTTTGGAAGCGGATTTCCCAGTCAAAAGTTAAAACCCCCCACCAACTTTTTTGCATCAAATTAAGTGAAAGCTTGAATTTTTGAGAGCTTGTTAATCATGGAGGAACAAGAGAGGAGAATCTCACATAAAGGGTGTGAGTTAAAGGACAACCTGAAAAATGAACATAGGAAAATAATAAACTGAGAAAAAAAAGGTAAAGTTAAAGTATTCAGTCGTGAAGTGTAACGCATGATGACGAAAGAGAGTCGGAGTTTGAGTTGTAAGTTTTGGAATGATTTGGTGTACTGTTTGCATGTGCATTACGTCATCAAAACATGTAAAAGCCTTTCTTTTATTACTTTTTTTCTTCATTTTTTTTCTTCTTCTGTTTTTGTGTCTTACTTGGTTCTTTGGTTCTCTTTGATTCTCTTTGGATTTGAGGAAACCAAGAAAGAGAAACCAAACCTCGTACCTTATAGTTACTTTTCATTGCAGCAATGAGTGTTTGTTGCAATCTTCTATATATAGTACAGGGTATGGTTTAAAGAGTACAGGTGAAGAATTTCTTCTACTATGTATATAATTAGGGGAAAACATTTCTGCAGCCACTTTAGATAAGGTTATTTACAGTTATCATTTTTTCACTAATTACGACATGTCGTATATTAAAATTGTATTTTCTCTATCCGCCACATCTGCATACAATGTCTGAGGAAAGAGAAAAAAAAGAACAACTTTATTGTTATAACTAAATACGACCGGTCGTACTTAGTGAAAAAATTAGCTGTAAACAATTTTATCTAAAGTGGCTGTAAAAATACTTTTCTCATGTAATAAATATATGAGTTACACTAAAAAAAATTTCTAGTAGAACCCATATATTTATTATATATGTAAGAGAAGATATTTTTCTCATTTTTAACCCATAAACTATTATTATACACTTCTGTAATGACTTATTGGCTATGACTCTTGTTGGTGACAATGCACTTTGACAGACGGAAAAGAAAAATTAAAAGAACAAAGAAAGAAAAAAGGTTGTGGCGCACTTAGGGGTATGCAAAAAAACTAGTTCACTTGCTCTGTCCTTGATCTGACCTTAACTTGACCCATAAATACTTATTATTTTTTGAACTGGTTTAAATACTGACCCACTTTTATTTGGGTGAGTTTTAGAACTGACTTGTTTTAATAATGACTCATTGACCCAAAACTTAACCCATACTCATTATGTGAAAAAAAAAATCACAATTACATTAAAAGAAAAGTTTTAACGTAAAACAATTACGTCAAATTTTTTACGTCATCAAAATTTGCGACTAAAAACATTTCTGTACAAAATTTGACGGAAAAATTTTTTTGTCAATTTTTTTTACGAAATCTAAATTTCGTCAAAATATTTCACAAAAAAACATATTCATCAAAAATTTCGAGAAAACACATTTCCATAGAAATTTTTTGACAAAAAAAAATTTCATCAAAATTCTTTACAGAATTAAAATTTCGGCGAAAGTTTTCGACGAAAACATTTTCGTTAAACTTTTTGACAAAAAAAAATTTTCGTCAAAATTTTTAGTGAAACACATTTCCATCGAAAATTTTCGTAAAAATTTTGACGGAAAAAATATTCTGTCAAAAATTCTTTAGAGAATCTAAATTTCGTCGAAAATTTCGAATGAAACATTTCTCTCAAAACAATTTTTGTCGAAATTTTCGTCAGAACACATTCCTATCGAAATTTTGAACGAAAAACATTTCGTCAAATTTTTTGACTGAATTCTTTTTTCGTTTAAAACATTTGATGGAGGAAATCATTTTCGTCAAAACTTTTAACGGAAACTAAATTTCGATAGAAAATTTATCTTTGTAAAAATTTTCATTAGAGAAAAAATTCCGTCGCTTTTCGACAAAAAGTATTTCGACGAAAAAATAATTTTGTGACAAAATTTTTATCATTTGCAACGTAGAAATTTCAACGAAATTTTGTGACGAAAACAAGTCAAAAACGGATCAGGTTAGATTTGACCCACTTCAGAAACCAAGTCAGACCCACTTCAGAAACCAAGTCAGATCAGATCTGACCCGGTTCTGAACTAGTTCAAAAAAATCCAAACCAAGTTAGACCTGACTTGGATCAAATTAAAGCGGGTCGAGTCAAAATACCTGACCTATAAAAACAAGTTGAGTCGAGTCAGCACAAAAACTTGACTCGACCTGACCCATGCACACCCGTGGGTGCACTTGCCATTTTAAATGAATGCATAACTTTATTTTCTTTCAAAGTTTTGTTATAAGAGAAATTTTTTGGTCCAAAATGCCTGCTGAATTAATTAATGCTTCCATAAATTGGATGTAGCAAAAAAAAAAAATTCTCTGACTTCCTTTTAATTAATGTTACATATAGTTATAAAACGACTTTAATTTGATGAGATCACTATAGTGTCACAAACTCAAACATTTTTTTATGAGATTAATATGTTTATTCTTTTAAAAGATATAAAATCATATATTTTAATCAAAATTATTGCATTTTATAATGAGAGCAACAGAAATCATGGTAAAAAAAAGTGAAAAAAATAATTTAAATATTAAATAACATTTTTTTTAACTAAAATAACTATTCTTTAAAATGATAAATATTTTTCTTTTCTTTTATATCACATTACACCCTAGTTTATGGAAATGTCTCGCATAATTTATGTATATATGTTTTTTTCAATTTGATGTAATGTGATTTTTAAGAAATTTTAATATCTTTTTTTTTCGATCTTTTAATGTGTACATAGAATCTCTCTTGATTTGATTTTTTGTTTCTTTTGTACTTCTTTCGAAGAATATTTTATTTCAATGAGTTGCTTTAGACTTGCTTAATTGTTATGAATGTCTCTGCAGTTGGTTTTGAAGGTCCAACTAGTATATGGTTTAGCGTATAGTAAAGAAGATCTTAATTTTAAATTGAATGAAAAACTAATATCTTAGTTTATAGAAATACCTCACACAGTTTATATGAACGTATTTTTCCAATTTAATGTAACGAAATTTTTAAGAAATTTTAAAATCGATTGGATATGATTTGATTGGTGTAAATAGAATCTCTCCTGATTTGTTTCGTTTCTTTTAAAATTCTTTTGAAGAATATTTTATTTCTATGGAGTTGCTAGACTTAGATAAATATTGTCATGTGTCTTATACGTGTGTTTAGAAGGTCCAACAGATATGTGGTTTTGCTTACAGTAATGAAGCTCTTAATATTAAATTAAATAAACCTAGTGATCGGATATAATACAATATGGGCTGGCCAATATGTATTACGCCTAATCACACACGGTTGAGACGGAGACGGTGTTCTTTGCCTTTGGGCTTAGTGTTGTTGTTGAGGATCAATATGCCTTTGTCCTTTGCTAGCGCGGTGAACCCGGATGGGGTACCTGCGAAGACACTCCGATGCTTAAGTCAGTATCAGAAGCAAGTGTATGTATGTGATAATGAAATAGATAGATGTACCTGGGTATGTACCCTCTGTTTATATAGCAGTTATGATGCCGCTTTCATTAGGGGGTATAGCTTCTGATTGGCCCTGTTTGGGCTGCAGGTCAGACTAGGACCTAAGTAGCTTTATATCCTTAGTATCAGGTTATCTGAGTAAAGCCGCGGCGAGCTGGAGCTGTCCTCTGTTTATTAGTTCAAAGGCACGGTGAGCTTGCCTTGGTTCTTAAGTTAGCTTCCTTATTTCTGGATCTTATATCAAAGGGCAATTTCATGCGCGATAGGAGCATCGCGCCTTGTCATGCGCAATGGGGTTATCGTGTCTGGTCTTGTGCGCGATGTTGACCATCGCGTTTTACTCTTGACCCCTCATAAAATTTGGGTTTCCTTGTATGTTATTGGACCTCTAATAGACCTACTATATTTTATCCAGATCACCTAGGTTGTCTTTTATTAAAGAAAAATAAAAGTTTCAAGTCAGTTTCAATGAACCCCATCATTTAGAAGTTCTTTGTAATATGAAATATATAAAATTTGGATCAATATTCTTTTCCCAAAGTATGTTCCATCATTATCCCACTAATGATAAAATAAATTTAATAAGCCTTTAACGTCGAGGAACAATGGAAAAAAATATATATAATAAATAAAATTTAATAAATTTATTTATTAATTAAAATAATAAATAAAATAAAAAAACTTTATTCTCCTAAAGTACCACCAATTTTTTTTCTTGATATATCCTGAAAGTATCCTCATTCAATCTCCGGTCACCTTATCATCGGAGAAAGGCTCTGAAGACTACCTCTCATTGGAACAACGGGTGCATTGAGTTTTGTCACCAGAGGAAGAATGAGTCTAATCTCCCTTGAAAGCTCAATTGCCAACTGAGCTATCCTTGTGAATTAGAGTACCATCAATTTTAGATATAGACAACAACATACTTTTTGTATCCTCTAAAAGAATTAATATTTGTTTCTTTACAGTTTTTCATTCTTTCATTGTTAATCTAAACGAAGTAGAGGGGAAATGAAACATTCTGCTTATCTAGGTTGAACTTTTTTTCAATCTAGATGAAATCTGGTACCAAAAGGTTGCTTTCAATATTCACAAGAGTGCCTTTTAATAGGCAAGGTACACAACAATCAGAAACTAACTAAGTACAGAGAACAAACGTAACAAAGTGTATCCTAACAAACTAGATACTAACAAACTATCAAAGTGAACTATATCTGCAGAATATCTACAACTGCACAACAGCCTAGTATCTATATGGATAACATCATATCTCCAACACTCCCCCTCAAGTTGGAGCATGTAAGAATGAAATGCCCAACTTGGGAAGAAATGCAAGAAATAGAGAATGTCCCAGAGCCTTTGTGAAGATGTCAGCGAGCTGGGAATGTGAACGAACAAACGATGTAGCAATTGTATTGGCTTGAACTTGCTCGCGGACGAAATGACAGTCAAGTTCTATGTGTTTAGTGCGTTCGTGGAAGACTGGATTCGCAGCTATGTGGAGTGCTGCTGTGTTATCGCAAAACAACTCCATGGGATGACTATGGAGTACACCAAGAGAGGCAAGGAATCCTTTTAGCCAAATCAGTTCTGCAGTAGCAGCTGCCATTGCTCTATACTCGGCTTCAGCGGAAGATCGAGCAACTGTCACTTGTTTCTTTGTTTTCCACGACACTGGTGATGTTCCTAACATCACAAAATAACCAGTCACAGACCTGCGTGTGAGTGGACATGAGGCCCAGTCAGAATCGCAATATGCATGGATTTTTAAGTCACAATCAGATTTCAGGAGGAGGCCTTGGCTTGGATTGCGTTTCACATATCGAAGGACTCGCATAACTGCATCGTAGTGAGCCTGCTTCGGTTTCTGCATAAATTGAGAGAGAATATGAATAGCATAGCTTAAATCCGATCTTGTGATATTGAGATAAATCAGCTTTCCAATCAAACGTCGGTAGCGTTCAGGATTTGCAAAATCTGGTCCATCTGCAAGTCCAAGGTGATGGTTTTGTTCAATTGGGGAGTTGGCTGGTTTGCTGCCACTGAGTCCAGATTCATGTAATATGTCAAGTGCATACTTCCGTTGGCACATAAAGATTCCTGCTTTGCTACGAGCAATTTCGATGCCAAGAAAGTATTTCAAACTGCCTAAATCTTTGATCTTGAAACATCTATTCAAGTATTCCTTCACTTCCTTACACGCTTGAGGATTATTTCCTACTAGCACTATGTCATCCACATAAATTAAAAGAGCAAGAAAAACATCACCTCTTTGCAGTGTGAAGAGGGTGTAGTCTGCTCGAGATTGCTGGAACCCGTAGGCTGTGAGTGAAGAGCTCAACTTTGAAAACCAATTTCTAGGTGATTGGCGCAAGCCATATAGAGACTTCTTTAGTCGGCAAACTTGTTGTCGGCATCCATTGTTAAAACCTGGGGGAAACTTCATATATACCTCCTCACTGAGGTCCCCATTAAGGAACGCATTATGAACGTCAAGTTGATGCAGTTCCCACCGTTTGGCTGCTGCGACTGCCAACAATGTTCGCACACTTGTCATTTTTGCTACCGGTGCATATGTTTCACCAAAATCTTCCCCAGCAACTTGATGATTTCCTGCAATAACCAGTCGTGCCTTGTACCGTTCAATGGTCCCATTTGAGTGGTATTTAATTTTGAACACCCATTTGCTAGGTAGAGCTCGCTTCCCTGGAGGTAACTCTGTGATTGCCCAAGTGCCATTATCTTCTAAAGCAGTTATTTCTTTCCTCATAGCGTCAACCCACTGTGGGTTTGTCATGGCTTCTCTGAAATGCCTGGGTTCATGGCCTGCATCAATAGCAGCCACAAAGGCACGATGGTGGGGAGAAAAATTAGATAAAGCAAGAAAATCATGGAGTGGATATTTGATACCTGACCGTGCATTGAAGGGTAGACCGGATGGGGCAGGAAGTTCATGTGTTTCAATTTTGTTGCACTCATAATCATTGAGATACGCAGGAGGCCTTCTTGGACGACGTTGACAATCGTGATCAGTATGGGGTATCAGAATACTCCCCCTGTCATCGTCATTTGCACCGGGTGGTGGTTCCATCGCGTGGGGTACCACAATACTCCCCCTGCCATTGGTATTTTCACCAAGTGGTTGTTCCATCTCTTGTGATAGCACATTGTCTTGCGCTGGCGCACAAGTATCATTGTCGTCGTTGTCTTCTGTGGGATTATTATCATCTGTCATCGCAGGCAAAGATGTTAATGAAGGGTGGCTGGAATCATTAGTTGGTTGTGTAGCAAATGGAAAGGTGCTCTCATGGAATTTCACATCCCTGCACACAAAGTATTCTTTGGTGTCCAAGTCATACAGACGCCAACCCTTTTGGGACACTGGATATCCTATGAAGATGCATTTACGGGAGCGAGAGGCAAACTTGTCCTTCGGTCTAGGTCTCATATTGGCAAAACACAAACAGCCAAAGGTTTTTAAATGATCATAACTAGGTGCAACTGTATACAGCAGCTCGTGAGGAGTACGACCAACAAGAATTTTGGATGGAGTTCTATTTATTAAATGAACCCCTGCAAGTACATTCTCCTCCCAAAACTCAATAGGTAGTGTAGCTTGAAACAGCAACGCCCTAGCTACGTTCAAGATGTGCCTATGCTTTCTTTCCACGCGGCCATTTTGTTCCGGTGTGTAGACACAAGTTGTTTGATGTATAATCCCATTTCATGATACAATTTCATCAAGCTTTGTGATTTAAACTCAGTTCCGTTATCAGATCTGAGTACTTTTACCATTTTACCAAATTGATTTCTAATCATAGCTAAGAATTTGTGTATTCTGTCACAAGTTTCCTTTTTTTTCAGCCAGCATATATACCCACACAAATCGACTAAAATCATCAACAACAGTCAGAAAGTAGTGTGCACCAGAAGAAGAAGAGGAACGATAAGGTCCCCAAGTATCGCAATGGATCAAATCAAAACATGCTTTACTTCGATTATTTGTTAAATGAAACACATTTCTAGATTGCTTGGCACGACAACATGTCTCACAAGCTTTATTGGATGCAATTTTTGCTGAAAAATTCGAAACTAATGGAAGTAAGGACACAACTTCATAAGATGGATGACCCAATCGCCTATGCCACAACTCGGCAGAGTCTTGAATTCGAACAGCGGAGGCTGAGGCACATTCTGATTGAAACACATAAACGCCTGCTTGAAGATCACCCACGCCAGTCTTCCTCATCAATGTTCGGTCCTGCAAAACACATTTTCCATCAGAAAATATCACCGTATTGTTACTCTCTTGTAGTAATTGAGATACAGAAACAAGGTTGCAACGCAACTGAGGTACAAACAAGACATTGGTTAATATAAAATCGTGGCTGAGGATTGTTGTTCCTCGTTTTTCTGCATAAGTTACGGAGCCATTAGGCAATCCCACCGTAAGAGGCTTGATGTTCACAATATCAATCAATAAATCTATCATTCCTGTCATATGTTGTGATGCTCCACTATCAATAAGCCACTGTGATTGAATAATCTTACCAGATAATTTGTCACTGGTTTGAGGTACATCCACCAATGTCATGAGTTTGCTCACCACTTCAGGGGTTAGGACGGAGAATGCTGCTGCATCTTGTGCTGTCTCCGAAGTTTGCATGGCGTGGGCCTGCTCATAGTTATTCCTTCCTCCGAACCGTCCCCTTCCACGTCCTCGGAATCCACCTCGAATGGGAGGATATCCGATTACTTTCCAGCACTTTGAAGGATCATGGTTTGTCTTCCCACAATGAGGACATGGCACTCTCTCAATTTGTTTATCTGGTATCATGCGCTGCATTGTATTCTCCACGTTGAGTTCTGTTCGCGCTGCATAGCTTACCACACCACCACGCTCTTCTTGATTGCGAGCAATGGAACGATGTGTCTCCTCTTGAGTGACAGTAGCATAGACTTTGTTCATATTTGGAAGTGGTGAATTGTTTAAGATTTGGGAACGTAAATTCCCAAAGACAGCTTCATCTAGCCCCATAAGGAACTGATAGACACGATCATGTTCTCTTTCTTCTTCAATCTCCTTTGCGTAAGCACAATTAATACCACATGCGCAAGTTTTGCGACTTTTGCTTCCTTCGAGTTCATCCCAAACTGCCCTTAGCTTCGTATAGTATTCCCCAATGCTGCTACCGTGTTGTCTCATGTTGGCTAGACTTGCTTTCAATTGGTATTGGCGTGGAGAATTCTGTATTGCATACCTTTCTTTCAGATCATCCCAAAGATCCTTCACCTCATCAAAACATTTGATGAAAGGTTTGAGTTTTGGATCGATCGTGTTGTGTATCCACCCGTTGATCATAGAATTGCACATCTCCCATGCACGCCATTCTGCTTCACTCTCCTTCTCTGGTTTCTTTACTGAACCAGTCACGAATCCCAATTTATTCTTTGCCTTGAGTGCGTTTTTCATGAGCTTTGCCCAATTTTCATAATTGGCTTCTCCTTGTAGCATAACAGTTGTTAGTATGATCCCTGGGCTATCTGAGCTTCCTAGGTAGAAAGGTGAGCCTGGATTTGTTGGTTTCAACCTGTTGCCTCCTTCTTCTGCCATATTTTATTGGGCTAGCTTTCACACTATTTAAAATTCTCACGCTGCGGAAGTGTTTTCACAAAAGGATCGCTCTGATACCAAGATGAAACCTGGTACCAAAAGGTTGCTTTCAATATTCACAAGAGTGCCTTTTAATAGGCAAGGTACACAACAATCAGAAACTAACTAAGTACAGAGAACAAACGTAACAAAGTGTATCCTAACAAACTAGATACTAACAAACTATCAAAGTGAACTATATCTGCAGAATATCTACAACTGCACAACAGCCTAGTATCTATATGGATAACATCATATCTCCAACAAATCTCCATTTCTTATCTCTTCTTTAAAACGATTATTAATTTTCTTATTATATGGCCTTTTATCTATCACTCGGCTCTTAAAAATTATTATCAAGATTGTTTTTAGGATAAAATTAAAATCAACTACCATATAAATTCTAAATATGTTGTTGGTAGGAAAGTGCACAATTGAACTATATTAATTAATCCCAAGGTTTAACTCAAGTATAGCAATATAAATCCTATGGCGAATTAATTGTCAGATCTTTAAAGCCAGTACTAATTAGAATTATGGAATTAAAAAAGAAAAAATATATTAATGAGAAGAACATAAGTAACCTATTAATTGTTTAAAATTTCTTATTTTTACGTGCAAGAATATCATGCTCGGAGGTTAGAATTATTTTATACCTGTGTAAATTACATTTTTAATTTTGATAAATGATTCAAATTTAGTGTAAGATTTCTAATTCTTACACATGTGTAAAAATATTATTTTACCTATATATAAAAAAAATAGCTTTAATATCAAAGGGAGACTAAAACTATGATGTTTGATTTGACTGGGAAGTATCAGCACGACTAAGACGTTTCTTCCTATATCTCCATGCAACCTGGATGCGTGTTGCTGAAAGGCATCTCCAGTAAGGGGATTCATACCTAAGAATTAAGATAATGAAGCAACCAAAATGCTATGTCAGGTAAGATCTTGAAAACAGGGACAAAAACATTAGATAATGGAGTAGGAAATATGACATAGCAATGTCAAGAGAGGCTTTGAAATAAAAATAAATGGGGACAGAGATCAAAACAGAAGACGTTGAAAAGAAGCAAGGTTGGGCTAGAATGTTTAGTGATGCGTTGCGTCACCTTGCTCTGCTTAAAATGTCACAACTAACTTTTATGATGCGAAAAAATGTATGAAAAAAAGAAAATTATGCTAACAAAGCCATGAAAATAACTTAGCACAATAGTCAACAAATATTGGTTTAAGTATTAAAGATCTTGTTTTCCTTAATAAAATATCTAGAGTTCGAGTCCTGAAAATGAAGAAAATGATAATGGGTTGTTGTACGTGCAACAATGATAGGTATATGGTTATGATTCCCCACATTAAATGCTTTAATCTATATATATGAAAAACTTGTCACGCTGCATGTAAAACAGCTGCAGAAAAATCGAACCCTATATATATATTGGAGTATTTCTCCATAAGCATTTCTTCAATTTAATATATATATATATATATATATGGAGTTTACATTTCTGTAGCTGCTGTATGTCCAGCAATCAAATATTTGTCATATATATACGTGAAAGTATTAAATGTGGGAAAACATAACCATACACATGTCATTGTACGTAAAGCGGTTGTAGAAATTATTTTACCTATATATATATATATATATATATGGGAAAGGATCTTTTGACTCTAGAGTAAGACTTACAACTCTTACTCTCCATCTCAACCGTTGATTTCCGTCCATCTAACGGTTATCTATAATAATTATTTATTTATTTATTTCAAATAAATAATAACCGTTAGATGGACGGAAATCAACGGTTGAGATGGAGAGTAAGAGTTGTAAGTCTTACTCTAGAGTCAAAAGATCCCTCCCCATATAGGGGCAGGATATTCTTACACCGGTGTAAGAATTAGAATTCTTACACTCAATCTTGACCATTGATCCACTTGTATCCAATGGCTCACATTACTAAAAAAAAATTAGCCGTTAGATATAAATAGAATCAACGGATAAGATTGAGAGTGTAACTTACAGTGGTGTAAAATGATCCTAACGCATATATATATATATATATATATATGGGGAAAGATCTTTTTACACCGGTGTAAGAGTTAGAAGTCTTACACTCAATCTTGACCATTGATCCACTTGTATCCAATGGCTCACATTACTAAAAAATTTGAGCCCTTAGATATAAGTGGGATCAGCGGACAAGATTGAGAATGTAACTTACACTGATGTAAAATGATCCTAACCCTATATATATATATATATAGACACACGAGACAAGAGAATAACCTTATGGCTCCTTGAACACGTGGACTCCTTAAGAATCTTGCAAAAAGGCTTGTAACTTCTTCAAGGTCTTGTGCTCGAAGTGAAAATGCCTCCACATTGGTTAAGCACCATACTGTCCTATTGCTAACCAATCTGTGTCTTGGAATCCTTACTTTTCCACCATCTGCATGGGGAAAACAAAAACACTTATGTTATTAATGTTGTTAACTTTTGCATGTTCAACACCCCACTACTTTTGAACCATGAAAACAGGCACCTATATAATATAAGAGAAATGAAAATGTTGTACACCTTTGGTTACTGAAGGATGCTCAAGACAACATGCAAGAAGTTCTTCACCACAAGCATTCCCTTCAGATAAAGGAACAATTCCATCTTCACCAATGCTCTCCAATTTTCCACGCACAATAAAAACCATCTTCTCTACTAGACCACCATTATATAGAATTTTGCTTCCTTTGATATATGTTTTTTGTCTTAGTCTCTCACATATAGCATCCAAGATAGGCTCATCCATCAAGGCAAAAATTCGAACCTGCAGCATATAATCACAAGTTGATGCAACATCATTCAGGGTGCCTTTTGATAAGCTTTTAAGGGGAAAAATGCTTTTATGATATAACTATTTTAAGAACCTTTTTTTAGAATTTGAGAAAAGAATGTGGTTATACTTATAACTTCTTAAAATCGTTTTTTGTTCTGGTAGAAACAAAATCAAATCAACAGTTATAAAATGACATCAAGTGATTTGATTTAAATCACATGATAACAAAGTGGTTGTAAGAAAAAAAGAAGTTATAAGTATAACCTATCACTTGAGAAAAATACTAAAAAAATGCCATCTCTTTTTTGCAAAGTTATTGCCCAATATAATGGTTATAATCTGCTAAAAAAAAATGCCAAATTGATATAATTACTCAATTTATGCCAGACATTCTACTATACTCACTTTCTTAACAAATTTAAAGAGATGACGTCTGATATCTCTCTGGAGGTCTTCAGGCAAATTCTCCATAAGCATTTCTTCATTCACCCCTCTTGTTGCAGCCCAATTATAACGTTCAGCCTGTCTTACTCTCCTGTATCACATACCAATCACATAAATGCACTGGAATCACTATCACTAACGTTATATCGTCCACATATTCATATAATTAAAATGCCTATATTAACATAAAGTAACAATTAGTTACTTCTCATATGTTTTACTTTCATCATATTCCACATTGGCAGATGTAGGATATTAATAAATAATGAAATATTGGAGAGTTTCTTAATACAGATAAGTGAATTTTAGGTGGATTTTGCATTGTCCACTTTTCAAACTCAAAGGGCTTTTGCGTTAGGAGGCGCGTATTAAAGGACTATAATATATAATCAATGTGACATTCACTTACCATCTATCTTAACAAGAAATTGCTCAAGCGGTTAATATATTACATAACCAAGAAATGATGTTAATTTTGGGAGCTAAGTGGAGTTAAAAGGTGGCAAATTTTATCAATTTAGCAACAAATACTGTGGGGCAATATGAGTATGACAAAAATGAGGAAAATGGGTACCTTCTCAGATCATCTGCTAAGCGCCGATGGCTCATCCATTGTTCAACATCACGTCGTCTAAGTGACATTTCTAGCCTCCTTTAAGAGAAAGTAAGAAAACGAGATATATATCAAACATGTTATTAACTATAAATATATAAACTATAAATACATAAAAAGTGACAAATTTATTAACCATATGTAGGCACAAACATGACTATAAATAATTAAATATTAACTATCAGCATTAGATAAACTAAGGTTATTCACCTATAAGAGAAAAGATACAGAATAAAACTACTAAGATATAATAATACTCATGGAGGACTCTTCCTAGTCCATTTTAAAGTCCAAAATAATGATAGCTAGGACATAAGAAACAACAACATGACAATTGCTGCAATGAGGGAACTTTTGTCATTGCATTTGTTCTCAGTGATCCACTAAAATTATTGTTAAATATCATAGATATAAGAGAAAATGATAGTAATCCTTGTTGTATTAAACTACACAACATTGGTGCTATTATATAGCAAACCAATTGAAGAATACAAAGAGACACACTCAATGTGGGACTTCTACACTATTAACACTAACACTCTTAACACTCCCCCTCAAGCTGTAGCATATAGATCATATGCTACAAGCTTGATACATAAATAATACTCCCATTAGGAACCAAAAACAACAATGCTACATCAACGAAATGAAATGACTAAGTACAACAAATCAACTGGAATGACCATCAGTCTGAAGAGCTGATAAAGAGACAATGTTGGAATGGACATCAGAGCATGGATGGTGCCGGAATTATCATCGGCAAAGACAACTGAGCTGACCAGGACATCAGCATCAAGATCCCTCTCAGACATTTCATTTAACAGTTGGTGAGCAGCCGTGGTTTCCCCTTGACTATGCTACAAGCTTATTACAAGAAAGACCAAGTAACATAACATCAAAATAAATCTCCTAAATGAGAAACCAAAAATCAACAATGTGCTAAAAATGGCGTCGAAATGAACATCAACATGGAAGATGCCGGAATGATCATAGGCAAAGACAATTGTGCTGGAATGACCATCAGCAACATGGACGGTGCTCCCCCTCAAGAGGAACTTCTAAACAGTGCCGGAATTATCATCGGCAAAGACAATTGTGCTGGAATGACCATCAGCAACATGGACAATGCTCACCCTTAAGAGGAACTTCTAAAGGGTGCCGGAATTATCATCGGCAAAGACAATTGTGCTGAAATGACCATCAGCAACATGGACAGTGCTCCCCCTCAAGAGGAACTTCTAAACAGTGCCGCAATTATCATCGGCAAAGACAATTGTGCTGGAATGACCATCAGCAACATGGACAGTGCTCCCCCTCAAGAGGAACTTCTAAACAGTGCCGCAATTATCATCGGCAAAGACAATTGTGCTGGAATGACCATCAGCAACATGGACAGTGCTCCCCTCAAGAGGAACTTCTAAACTGTGCCGGAATTATCATCGGCAAAGACAATTGTGCTGGAATGACCATCAGCAACATGGACAGTGCTCCCCCTCAAGAGGAACTTCTAAACAGTGCCGGAATTATCATCGGCAAAGACAATTGTGCTGGAATGACCATCAGCAACATGGACAGTGCTCCCCCTAAAGAGGAACTTCGGTGTCGAAATTAACATCAGCGGAGACAACATCAGCAACTTGGACAGTGCTCCCCCTCAAGATGGATGATGAATCGTATAAATACTCCATCTTTGGAAGAAAGAAGATTAAAGAAAAACAAAGCTTCGCGGAATCGGAAAAGTCGCCGGAGACGGCGGTGGGTCGTCGGAAAAGTCGTCGGAGATGGTGGTGGATCGCCAGAAAGTCATCGGAAAAGTCGACGGAGACGGCTGTCAACGGTGGACGACGCGGTCAACGGTGGTCGGTCAACGACAACGGTGGTCAACCCAACAACTTCCCAAGGATCATTCTTTTCTGATGTGACAGATCAGTCTAAGCTGCAGTCACAGAGCATACAAAGAAAAACTCGAAAAAGAAATAGCAACGGGAATCTCTCAAGGAGGGTGATATCTCTCTATAACCATATTGGAATTATGGAAAATAGAACTAAGTTAAACGGATTAAGATTCCTCTTGTTAGGCTCTAGATACCATGTTAAATATCATAGATACAAGAGGAAATGATAGTAATCCTTGTTGTATTAAACTACACAACATTGGTGCTATTATATAGCAAACCAATTGAAGAATACAAAGAGACACACTCAATGTGGGACTTCTACACTATTAACACTAACACTCTTAACAATTATAAACATTTCATAAGACAAAAAATCAAACATAGAGTTCAAGACATCCACAACAAGACAAAAAGGAACCACAGCCACCATACCAACCTTGCTGACTGCTTCTAAGACTCTCTAGATTTTATAGAATTACTCTGTTCATATACAAGAGGGCGAACATTGGAGCAACGGTAAGGTTGCTCCTTGTGACGGGGTTCGAGTCTGAAAAACAGACTCTTTGAAAAAGTACGAAGGTAAGACTACGTACAATCGACATACACCCTACCCTCACAAGTCAGGGAGTCTTATGCATCATCATTTGCCCTTTTTACTCTGTTCATATACAATTAAATTACCATAGTTAAAGCCATCAAACCATATAGTCCCAATTCCCAAATTATAAATCATGGAAGGACCATATTTTTAATAATAGATCCAAGTAAAGGCAAAAACTAAAGAAAATATAGTATTAACCCAAACAATTACAGGGAAGAGAAACCAATTCAATTATTATACTTCTTCCCTCTATTTCAGCTCACAAATCCTTATTTTTCATTTTTCAAGCTAAAACATCAGATAATTATTTAAACTAATCCTTAAAGGAACCCTAGAGCATTACTTAATTTAGAGAGGTGGAATAAAAGCAACATTGTCCTCAAACAGTGCTTGTTACTCACTCAATATATTGTGTTTTAGTCATGGCCTCATGAGGCATTGCATATATGAAGCAAGACATTCTACCTGCGTCCAAGAGCCTGAAGAAAGTTCTGTATGTTTCCAATGAGAAGAGCAAAAAGCAAGAGTCCCATTCCTATGATGGCCATGGTAAAAAGGACTTCACAAACAAAATAGCTAGGGGTTAAATTGCCAGCCAGAGTACTAATTTGCTGCAAATAAATCACACAGGTATAGCATTAGTAGGATTTCACTTGTTGAGAAAACTAAAATACTGAAATAAAAACAGACTCCTCATTAACATAATGAGTTTGAAAATAACAATATACATTTACTATTGGAAAAAGAAATAAGTGATATACCTGGAATCCCCAAAATGATGAATATACATATCTAGTGATCACATTGTGATCTGCAGTAAGATTGACAGCTTTAAGATAGATCCCATACTCAAAACCATTCTCAGTAAAACAAGCAGTTGCATTTGCATTGTTCTTCCAAAGAGGCCAATTTGTATCATTTTGATATTCTTTAGTATATCCATGCCCACAATCAATGAATTTTGTACATTCATTAATATGTGCTTTCTTGCAGGCATCTCTTAGACATTGATTAACCCTCTGGGACAAGAAACAGGGAGAATGTGGGAATTAATAATTGAAGAATAACCCTTATTTGATGTAACCAACTAACAAAATTCCCCAACTTTAATTAAATCACACATCCTTGAATTATTTCATTATCAGAAGGTAGTAATAATTAGTAAAAAAAATTGTTCAGGATATAGTTTAATTCTTTTATAATGCACTTTGCTTGGACACAATGCACAATATCAAGGATGTCATAAGTACGCAACCATTCTATTTTTTCCTTTTGTCATGAGCAGGATTTGAGGTCAAACAAGAGAATGCTTTAAAACTTATGCTGCTCATACAATCATGGGGATTTGTTTCCTTTTTTCATTTTTTATTATAAACCATCCAGTATCCGTTCGTCCACGGGTGCAGACTAATCCGGATTTGAGACAGACAAGACCACAAGGGCGGCAAAGCTCTCACAACTGTATACCCAGGGCTCGAACTCGAGACCACGGGTTAAGCTAGAATAACTTCCCGTCAATTGATCCACGTGTTTGGTGGTGACTTATTTCCTTTTTAATGTAACTGAATTCAAAGGTGTATAAAGTTTTTTTTTTTTTTTTTGGAAGAAAAAAATCTGAAAGGAAAATGGGAGTCACTGAAATAAAAATTACAAAAAAGTTATATAACAGAAAGGGCTTAACATACCTGCAAACCAAACAGGTACCAGCTTGACCCAACAATATGACCAGATAGCATGAAGGTAAAAAGATTTATAAAGAAATTTTCCCATGCTGACTCAAATATCAATCCGGTTGGATAAATTAGCATAGGAAGAAACCTACACAATCTGGGAAAATACTGAACAATGACCGCAATAAGCAAAAGATTCTTTGCATAGTTTTCTCCTGATGAACCCAAGTCATTTGGTAGGACAAACAATATGATTATCTGCAAATATTCCAATGAATTATACCATGACAAGGAGTTTGACAAGTATATGTATATACACCCAAAATTGCTTCTATCTTCATAACAAATGTCATACAATTTCCTTTCTCTTATTCCATCAATTTATTCTTAGGCAAATGTTCATGTACACAAATAAATATTATTCCTCAGGTTGTCCATACCAATTAGAACAATAAATACAGATCATCTGAATTTCATACAGGATGACATAGAATCAGTTTGGAAAGAAATAGAGAGAAACAAGACAAGAAACCTCTGAAATATTTAATCATTACTCTGCCATAACATGAAAGTAATAACAATAGACCATATTTATAGACAAACTAAACTCCAAAAAAAATCTTACTCCTTTAAGAAGAAAATTATAATCAAATAATTACTATCCTAAACGAAACAGGAAATGCAACTATTCATCCAAATACCTAGTACATTAAATGTAAAAGCTATCAATCTCCTTGCTAAGGCTAACTTCAAAGGTAATGATATTCATGTTTGCCTTATATGTCAAATATAAAAAAGACAAAAGAAAATTTAAGCAATATAATATACATTTTGTCTTAAATTTTGTGAGCAGAAATAAAACCAGACAATTTCCATTACTTTGTATTATAAATTCTATACTTTTACATCAAAAAATTCACATTAAGCAAGAAAGGGAGATGGAGAGAGATTCACCTGAGGAAGTGGAAGTGCAACAAATAAGTCAATAACAAAGTATGTCTGAAGGTAGTGAAGAGCTATTTTCTTAGGATGGTCAACTAAATCTCCAGCACCAACCACCCTAGATTCTGGAGCCACATAAGCCAACCTAAACTGCAAAGAATCAAGTTGGAAGAATTAGTTGGAATCAACTGCATCACATAAGTGTACCTACCTGGACTTCTAAACAAATGAAACTAGGTTTAAGATTCAGGTTTATTACTTTGCACCAATGTAATAAGAACAATACGGCCTCAACCTCCACATTTATTCGCTAATCGCTGTTATGATTGTTACTAGAAGTTCAGAGGGAAAAAATGGTATAAAATAGGGGCCAAAGCTTAAATTTAAAGATTTTTTATTATAGTTTTCTGAGTTTCTGTGATCTGATTATTTTCTAATGGACAGATTTTATGTCTTATGCAAAAGGAAACAGAATTCATGAATTTTTAGAGAAAATTAAGCAGAATATATTATACCTTCTTATAAACAGAAAAAATGAAAAATTATAGAGGAAGGAGCTTAAATATATGTCTCAAAGTAATTGTTGTTGTACATAGTATAGAAGTCCCACATTGTGTATATGTGTGTGTATTTGTTATTTAGTTTAATATATAAAAGAAGTCTCCTTCGTGTAATTGACACAAGGATTACAATGAATACCTCTTGTCTCTTGGTAATTAACATGGTATCTAGAGCCTAACAAGAGGAATCCTAATCCGCGTTTTTTTTTTCCGGTGGACCACTGTCCGCTGAGTAATTTTTTTTTTTTTCGGAAACAATCATATCTGTCAGTTTCCGGCGCCCATACATCGTCAAAGGACCTCTCTGATCACAGCCGCTGTCCGGAACCGCCGTCCGCCGCCGAAATTTCCGGCGAACCATACACGGTTCTGATCGTCCAGACACGGCGGTCTTATCTGTCTTGGACCCGTTCGAAGATCCTTCTCCACGCGCTCTCACGCGCGTCACGAAGGAGCTGCGTCCAATTATTTTGCAGCCGCGCGTGGAGGCGCGTGAGGCTGTTTCTTCCGGTCCTACCACCACCGTCCATCTCGCCGTGACCTTGCGTCCCTGGATCTGTCCTCGATTTGTGGTTTTGACATCGTTCTGGTTTCCTACGGTGTCCTTTCCCTTGTTGGTTACTGTTCACAGGTGTCTCTTTGCTTTTTTGTTGCTGTTCTTTTTGGTTACAGGTGACCCATGGCTGATTTGTCACGCCACGATGCATCCAAGGGTTCTCAAAAGGCTGACCCGCCTGTTTTTTCTAATTATGTTAATGTTCCGCTGCACGTCGACAAGTTGGATGGCTCCAATTATGATTCTTGGGCTTCTGATCTCCGACTTTGGCTTGATGGACAGGACTACACTGACCATCTCATTACTAAGGCTGAGTCCATCTCGGTAGATGTACGCCCTCATTGGAAAAAGGTTGATGCTCAGTTATGTAGCATCATCAAGTCTACCATCCACTCGTCCTTGAAGCAGATTTTTCGTGCTCACGTCACTTGTGAGTCTGTTTGGCGTCAGGCCAAGTCACCTTATACTAATGACACTCAGCGACTCTATGGCGTTTGTCAAAATTTGATCACTACTATTGCTGCTCAACGACTTGATGTATCTATGTCTGCTTACTTGGGAAAAGTTCAGGGCCTCCTTCATGATTTCAATGAACTGTTGCCGCCTGCTGCAGATCCTGCTAAAGAACTTGAGCAACGCAGCACGTTCTTCATGCTCATGGCTCTTTATGGTTTGCCCTCGGAATACTCTGTCAACCGGGATCAGATCTTGGGTTCTACTACTGTTCCATCGCTGGACTCTGTTTGGTCTACGTTGCTTCGCATTCCACCTAAGACTGCTATGGAGCCTGCAGTATCTGATCCCTCTTCAATTGACCCATCTGCCCTTGTCTCCAAGGGTTTTGCACGTGGACGCAAACCCTCTACGAGACGCTTTCTCTGCACTCATTGCAACAAGCCGGGCCATACTATTGCTCGTTGCTGGGATCTTCACGATCGCCCTCCTCGCTCCGCTCATTTTGCTCAGACTACTGTTCCTGCCTCGGACTATGCTTTGATTGCTGGATCACACCCACCTGGTACCACTGCCTCTGGTGCACACACGGGTAATTCCTTTGCTGGTGGTGTTTCTCACTCGCCCTCTCTTGGTCCATGGATTCTCGATTCAGGTGCATCTGACCATATTTCTGGTAATAAGTCTTTATTTACCTCTCTCTGTACGTCTGGTCCCCTGCCCAAGTATCACTATGGCTAATGGGTCACTGGTTCAGTCCCAAGGGATTGGCACTGTTCTCCTTTTTCCTTCTATTTCTATTGAGAATGTGCTTTATGTTCCTCATTCTCCTTTCAATCTTATTTCCATTAGTCGCTTGACTCAATCCCTTGACTGTATTATTTCTTTCACTAAAGAGTCTGTCATTTTGCAGGATCGGAGCTCGAGGAGGACACTTGGCGTCGGATCTGAGTCCAATGGCCTTTATCAGCTTTCAACTTCTGTTCCAGTGTGCTCTGTTGTGGATTCTCCGCTTACTATCCACGCTCAGTTGCGTCATCCAAGTCTTGCTAAGCTCCAGAAGATGGTCCCACGTTTCTCAAATTTATCTAGTTTGTCTTGTGAGTCGTGTCAGTTAGGGAAACACACTCGTAGTTCGTTTCCCGATCGTGTCAGTCGTCGATCTTCGTCTCCTTTTGCTTTAGTTCACTCAGATATTTGGGGTCCTAATCGTACCGTTTCCACTATGGGGTACAGATATTTTGTAACTTTCATTGATGATTATTCTCGATGTACTTGGTTATTTTTAATGAAAAATCGGTCTGAATTGTTTTCTATTTTCAACAAGTTATTTAATGAAATCCTTACTCAATTTGGTGTTTCGATTCGCATTTTTCGTAGTGATAATGCTCGTGAATATTTGTCTCATCAGTTTCAAACCTTCTTTGCATCTCACGGCATCCTTCACCAGACATCTTGTTCACACACCCCTCAACAAAATGGGATTGCTGAACGCAAGAACCGTCACCTAATTGAGACCACTCGGACACTTTTGTTACATGGTCATATCCCCTTCCAGTATTGGGGCGATGCTGTCCTCACAGCTTGTTATCTCATTAATCGCATGCCTTCCTCCGTACTTAATAACCAGGTACCACATTCTGTGTTGTTTCCCCATCAACCTTTGTACCCACTCACTCCTCACATCTTTGGTTCTACTTGTTTTGTCCACAATCTCAGTCCTGGTCTTGACAAGTTATCTGCTAAGTCACATAAATGTATTTTCCTGGGTTACCCTCGCTCACAAAAGGGTTATCGTTGTTACTCTCCCAGTCTTCGTCGTTACTTTGTCTCAGCAGATGTTACATTCTTTGAGTCTATTCCATTCTTTGACTCCTCCTCCCATCCCAGTGATTCTGTTGCTACTCAGCTACCTTTACCATCTGTTTCAGTTCACTATATACCTTCACCATCTCCTTCTTTAGATGTCCCCGTCCCTGTTCCCGCCCCTATTCCCCCCCTCCAGGTCTATCATCGTCGACAACGTCCCCCGGTTCCCCAGGACCCTGATCCCCCCCCCCCCCGAGTCTGCCCCTATTGTTACTGAGGCTCCTGTGGACTCACTTCCGTCATCATCTCCTCTGGCAGCTCCGATCCTTCCGTCTGACATTGATGTGCCCATTGCACTCCGGAAAGGTACTCGTGATTCTCGTCCCCCTCCCAGGTATTTATTAAATTTGAGTTATCATCGTCTTTCACCATCCCATTTTGCTTGCCTCTCTTCTCTTTCTTCTGTATCTGTTCCTAAGACTACAGGTGAGGCGTTATCACATTCTGGTTGGCGACAGGCCATGATTGATGAGATGAGTGCACTTCAAAGCAGTGGTACCTGGGATCTGGTTCCCCTTCCCTCTGGGAAGTCTGTTGTTGGCTGTCGATGGATATACACGGTTAAAGTTGGTTCGGATGGTCAGGTGGACCGTCTTAAAGCCCGCTTGGTGGCTAAAGGTTATACTCAGATATTTGGCCTTGACTATGGTGACACATTTTCTCCCGTGGCGAAAATGACTTCTGTTCGCCTCTTTATTACTATGGCAGCCATTCATCACTGGCCTATGTATCAGCTGGACATAAAGAATGCTTTCCTCCATGGTGATCTGCAGGAAGAGGTTTATATGGAGCAACCTCCTGGGTTTGTTGCTCAGGGAGAGTCTAACCTAGTTTGTCGTCTCCGAAAATCCTTGTATGGTCTCAAGCAGTCTCCCCGGGCTTGGTTTGGAAGGTTTAGCACTGTTGTACAGCAGTTTGGCATGACTCAAAGTGAGGCTGATCACTCAGTCTTTTACAGACACTCTGATTCAGGTTCTATTTATTTGGTAGTATATGTTGATGATATCGTCATTACAGGTAATGATACTCATGGCATAACTCAGATAAAACAACATTTGTGCCATCATTTTCAAACAAAGGACCTTGGAAGACTCCGATATTTCTTAGAGATAGAAATGGCTCAATCCAAAGATGGCATTGTACTATCACAGAGAAAATATGCTATGGATATTCTTGAGGAAACAGCATTGTTGAATGCTAAGCCCGTCGATACTCCTATGGATCCAAATGTCAAGCTTTTACCAAATCAGGGGGAGCTATTTTCTGATCCAGAAAGGTATAGAAGATTGGTTGGGAAACTAAACTATCTCACAGTTATTCGACCAGACATTTCCTTTGCAGTCAGTGTAGTAAGTCAGTTCTTGAATTCTCCCTGTGAAGATCACTGGAATGCAGTAATCCGTATCCTCAAGTACATCAAGACTGCTCCTGGCAAAGGTCTTCTCTATGAAAACAAAGGTCATACCAGAGTTGTAGGATACTCAGATGCTGATTGGGCAGGTTCTCCTATTGATAGAAGATCCACTTCTGGGTATTGTGTATTCGTTGGAGATAACTTGATTTCCTGGAGAAGTAAGAAGCAAAGTGTAGTTGCTAGATCAAGTGCTGAAGCAGAATATCGCTCCATGGCCACAGCTACCTGTGAACTCATCTGGTTAAAACAGCTACTGAAGGAACTCAAGTTTGGAGACACTGGCCCAACATCTCT